CCCCAAAACCCCAAAACCCCAAAACCCCAAAACCCCAAAAGAAACTATGCATGTTGATATCACAATTATTTTATAAATCCCAGTATGAACAACTGAGCTACTGACCTTCTGGCTGGATCGATCCTGAACCAAGAGGGCTATATCTACCATGACAATGTATTTGCTATCCTATCATCTCAAAATATGGTAAGTGAGTTTTCTACAATCTCTGGTAGGGCTGTTTTGGGTTAGAACCTAGGTGTCTATGGTTGCTCTAGTGCTAGCCATGAAGTTTGCTCGTAATTAGTTATTTACAACCCTAATTTTGGTCTAGCACTCCCAAACAATCTTTAGTGATCCAGATTGCTTTGAAGATACTCATAATTTGTACACCTCAAGCATTCAGAGCTATAAAAATACTAAGAAAATGTGTGAAATCTCAAAGACAAATTTTCAAAGAGATACTTGCATCAAGAATGGGTGTGAACACAGACTTGAAGAAGACAAACAGCAAAATACCTGAGAACTGTCTTCTAAAGATCAAGCAAAGATGGATAACGACCGACGCCAAGGATTTGCACTACGTAAGATATTACAAAGAAATAATTAATAGGATGTTTAAAAGGATCCGTGAGTTGCTCCAATAGTTCAAGTACTTTAGCCCAAGCTTACACTTCGTATCGCCCTTCTATGATGAAGTCCAAAGGAGTCTTCAAACTGAGAGATTCTCTGCGCCTTGTTCGGAAGTACTTGTTGTATCAATTTAAACATCAAAACTCAGAAATTGTAAGTAAAAGATACTTCAACTGCTCATGAGCCGAGATCGCCCAACGTATCACTGCCACTCTCAACAAGTTGTTGCCTCCTGATATTGTGACTGTTGACTTGGTCTATTACACAATTGGCATCCTGAGTCTTAAAGACCTGCGCTACTTCGACTGTAGCTCCGAAGTCAAGCAGCAAGTTCGACTTTTCTTAGATGCAGTCCGTAAATTCTCATTTGCAAAGTTTAAGCAAGTCATGGCTTCGAGAAGCGTCCAGGTGCTGTGAAGATACTTGGTGTTGCACTCGGATGATCCCAGAGCAGTCAGACTCAAAGAGGCTTTGAACATGGACTAAGGAAGCACTACTAAAGAAGAGCATGAATAATTACTCATAATTTCTCCTTAATTGTTACAAAATATTGTCCAAATGTCTAGTCTTCTAATAGACATCCTTCCATCCGAAAGGGTCTTACTAATATCAGTTCCGCAATTATTTCTGAGAGCGAAATCAATCACAAAAAGTATTATTAACCTGGGGCTGCTCAACATGAGGGTCTTAGCTTAATGCAATGACTTGTAGTAAATTAGCAAGTTAATTTAGTACCAAAACACTTCGAAAAGCTTGGAGTAATGCCGCTTCATATATCTTTGAGCTAACTAGAATCCCTAAAGTCTTTCTGCTTAGGTTCCAGCATGCTTGGTTTCAAAGAATCGAGACTAGTTAATAGGAAACATTAAAATATTCGGCTGAATTCTATTGCTAGTTTATTAATAAAATCCTCTTTAAGGTAAGTTCAGCAACTTTAATTGAGCTTCAAGAGACTTCACAACTGCAACTTCTTCATGCTGAACTCTGCTTCTAGTTTTAAGGGATCTCGGAAGACTGCCGCTATGATACTACCAAATCATAATTATTTTAAACGAAGTCTCCAGTTTATTGAACTTTAGAACAAAATTTCCGAAATTATTTGGCAAAAGTCTCCCTTGATGAGCCCAAACTTTAGAAGCCTTCTGAAGGTTTACTGCTTCACTTTGGCAGTGAAGATATATTATTTAGTGTTTATTAAAACCTAAACTTTCGTGGTTTACACCTAAACTTAGATAGACCTAAAAACTATCAAACTTAGCCTTGAGTCTTAACCAAATTGATCCGCCTGCAGAGTCAGTGTTAATGGACTCCCTGAATTAAGTGAACAAATCCGGGTTGTCTTAGAACTTGATTCGACCACTTATCCAAAAGTTAGTTAACTTACCTCCTTGATTCATGGATTTTTGGCAAGTGTACGAGACTTCACCCTTTCAGAAATCTATGAATTTGGGAGGCTAAACGAGTCAGAAAACATCCATCTTTATGGCTCATAATTTCTCGTATTTTATGCCACTTATCCCAACCATAGTATTTGCTCAGGTATCTGAGTCTCTGCAGAATTCTGAATTTTATACAAATTTAATAATAACACTTTGAAAACTCAATAATTTCTGACAAATGGCATCTTTATTGGTAGTGATAGCTTAAACTTGGGACTATTCATGCAATAAGTTTATCAAGCACAATATGCTGTGCTTAAACCAGATAAGATGGCGGGAAATGGATGACTTTTTCCCTCCTAAAATACAAATTTGATTGTCTATCTTCCACTAAGATTCAAAAGTTTAACAAGAGAGGCAAAATTTACTAGGAATTTTGTACTGTTTTATACAATAGATAAGCCATGCTTCCCTTATAGTGCTAATAAGCTTCGGATGATTACTCTTTGCTTCTAGCGATCACAGAGCAACACATTTATCACAACTAGGAAGAAGGCCAATATTACTGTGTAAGCAAGCCTTGAAGGTGTCTAACGATTCTGGGTCTGAAGCAGATTCATGCTGCAAACTTTTGAAGTCTAGTATACTGACAATTCTGACTAAAACCCAATGTTTATCTTTGAGTTTATTGTCTGTCTCGAAAGAGCAGAGTGAAATAACCACGAGATCGTTACAAGCATGAATATGAGTCTAGCCCAAGGGTTGCCAACTCAGTAATGTAGCCGTGTCTCTTGCAAAGGCTGAAACATTGGGCAAAAACTAGATGCTCCTAATTGATATTTTCAAAGACTTTAAACTTGCAAGTTTAACTCTCTGAAATTTAAATGATTGCAGGAAAGAAGTGGTTTGAATATTCAGTAAATGAAGCATCATCCTTAGAGCATATATCAAGAAATACTCAAGCCCTTTGTATAATCTCGGCTGCTTGATCCGCCGAATTCTTGGATAATATTAGAAAACTAAGAAAGCAGTTTACTCAAAGAGTTTACGGATTCAGCCCATCTTTAGATTTTTGATAAATTAAAGAATGATGCACCAGTAGACTGCTGATTGATCTCACAAGCCCTTCTGAAAATTCTGAGATAGCTCAAATCTAGTGATGAAGACAACTCAAGTTTATCAGAAGCTACAAGTCTCCGAGAATTATATCATTTGGTAAACTTTCGATAGTTTTAGCGATGCTAACCCAATTAATAACTAGAGATATTAGAATTTATGGGAATACATAGCCACTTAGGACTGACAAGACCAGATGAAGATACTACATCCAGGTAAGAACTGCTTCAAAGTACATCAGCAATATAGTAATGGAGTATAATGATCAATGCCTAGGAAATGCATAGTTGGGTTTCCAGACCAACCAATATAATGGGAGTTCTAGTTTAATAGTATTAGCCACACAGAGACAAGCCGATGTCAACTAAGATTCAAACAGACACACCAATCACGAGTGTTGAAAAGACTATTAAAAGTTAAGGCTCTTGTTAGAATAAAACAATGATTTTGAATCCATCTTCCGTGCATAATAAAATAAATAGCCTTGTTTCAAGCACACATTTGCTCCTAGGGGTTTTGGGGTTTTGGGGTTTTGGGG